TGTAGTATCAGTTGTAAGCATGCCACCAGGCGAGAGAGCAATGCCTTTATTAATTTTCGTACATTTCGGCACAGGCACATCAACCCCCGAGGAATGTTGCTGGCAATTAACAGAAATATCCATGAGAATTCCTTGCTCTGCGAACTCCGAGGTACGTATCTTTTAGAAGCCACAGAAATGTTTGGCACTGCTTTGATTGGGCCTAAACCAATTTGCCAATAGAGTCGTTAGCTTCGTTTCTGGTTGGCAAAAGTTCTCCGGAGTTTGGAATTTAATTGCTTAAAGACTTAATGAACAACATTCCAAAACTAATGCCATCATACAAAGTGAGATAGAAGTTGCTTGCTGTGGAATGCAACCGAATTCGGCATCAAAGCTACAGAAATATCTTACATTAAAGTCTGTACGGGTAGCTGTATCTGAATCTGTACGCTCTGCCACAAGCACTTGCGCCCAGACGACACACACTCAGAGGCGAGACTGGCAGATTGCTGGCAATATGAGAACTGTCACATGAGACGACAGCAACGGAAATTCTTGGCAAAGTTTATTAATTAATTTTGTTGATTTTGTCACGTGCCCGTAATTTCGCGCAAAATCACACACTCAGACTCCAACGCACTCACACACACACACACAAACACACACCACACACACACACACACAGAAACACAGCAGTACAAATTCACACATGGCCATGGGGCAGGAGCCATAGATAGGAACCAAAACCAAAAGCCAGAACCAAAGCCAAGGCAATACAGTTACTGAAAGCCGGCCAGAGATTCGGAGTTTAGGGACCAGAGCGTGACGGGGAGGCGCCCAGGGCACAGCCGGGCGCAGCGGCAACATCCATTAGTCAAATGGCTTTCTGTTGCTCCATGTTAGTTGGTTTCCCCAGGTGCCTAAATGTCCAGGAAGTTGCCCCCAGCAGACCTCCAGCCAGGCAGCCAGCCAGCCAGCCAGCATTGGGCTCCTGCTGATGCGATGGAGCAAGGCGCAGGCCCTGGCCAACCACACGACAATCTACAATACATATTACATTATGTTCACGTTTATGACGATTATTGTTATTGTGTTTGTGTGTTGTTCGACCGCTTGTTTAGCGCAAAAGTCAATTAAATGGCTTTGCCGCAACGCAACCAATTGCTCATAATTCGATTACGATTTTCGGCCAGTAATCTGCTCTGGCCCCGGCCATTATAATTTTAATATGTAAACGAATAATTGTCAAACAGCTGGGGCCCATGGCGGCAATCAATGGCAATCGGTAAAAGCCAAACGACACGCCTTCGGCAGTGGAATACGCTGAAAAGTATGCTATGGCTAATGCGCCGAACCAAATCAAGGAGCAACATGTCACGACTATTTAAAAAATTAATATTGAATGATTGTTCCAAGGCTATGTAGAAATGGCTCTGCGGCTGAGCATTTTGCATTCAATTCATTCGATCAATGGGGGCCATGTCCTTTGACCGATTCATGGCCAATGTGGCAGACGTTGTTGTCTCTGACTGCTGCTGACATGGCCAGGCTAATGGACTATGGGACTCATCATTAGTGGCCCTTTTGGCAGCCCCACCACCCCTAGCGGTCGCCCCATGAGTGACCGCATGTTTGCCATAATTTGGTGAAGCAAACGAAATGGAATCGCATTGGATCGGATCCGTTGTCGGTTGTTGGTGCCTGCTGGGGCCCATAATCCACTCATATGCTCGCCCCATTGTTGTCGCTGCTCTAGCAGCTCCGATTCCATTTGCCACATCAATTGTGCATTGAACTGTGCAAATGTTTGTGTGTACTAGCATAAGAGTTTTCTTTTACTGTATCTCCCCTGCACACAAACTCGGGCAAGCTTTGTCGAATTCTTTGTTTTGCCGGATGGAAAGCATGCGCAGGCCAAATCGAAGGCGAGAGTCTTGTCGTTATTTTCTTGTTTTGGAACAATTGGATAGTGGCTCCCAAAAGCTGCAAGCTTTTCAATTTGCAAGACATCAAGTAATGGCTGCCAGCGCCACACCATACCCTCTCCCAATTCCAATTTCAATGTGTCTGTGCCCCAACCCCAACCCCAATCGAATAACAGCTGCAAAATAATGCTGACGCATTTAAAATGCAATAAACGTGGGCGTGGTCGAGGCCGTGGTCGTGGTCGTGCGTTCAGCCTGGAATTTTTGCCAGTCGTGCAAAATGTCAAACATGTCAATCAAAAGTCATTTTCTATGCCACCCGTATGCCACGTCGCGTTCGAGTTTGGCCCGAGCCTTTTCGTTTGCCGCATGTCGCATATTGAGCTGCAGTCGAATTCCGCTGAGAGGGTATGACAGGAAACGTCAGTCGCCTGGCAATTTGGTAGGTTCTTTGCCACTTAAATCCGCTTTGTGCAGCTTCTCTCTGGCCACTTTGAAGAGCCTGCGCCAAAACGCTTCACAGATGCAACAGCAATATTTGTGATAATACTTTCCCTTGCGAATGCTCCCAACATATACGAATACCGCCAATATCATTGGGAAAAGTCAGAGCAAAATCTTTGCGAGCCGCCTGGTTCGGGGTCCGGGGTCCCTTGATGTTTGCTTTACTCTGTGCGCCCAATTTAAAGTTCCCTGTGTCGGTGGGTGGATGGGGGTGGGGCATGTTTATAGGGAGAGTTGGCACAAAGATTGACTTTTATTCGGGAGTAACATTTGTAATGCCCTAAAGAGGATTGAGGGTATGTGGTGCCCTGTGGTAACCTCCGAGGGCGCAATTAGGTGGCCATGAAGAGCATCTACTCGTCGTTAGTCTATCCCAAAAGTCTACCCTTGTTTTTATGTATTTGCTGTTTGATTTGTTTGTGGATGCAGGTTGCGTCTTGTGCCGCGGGCACAATCTGCTCTCTGAGGGTTGAGTGGGGTCTCTGGGCGTTGTGGGCGTTGGGGGTCATTGGGTGGGGTGTGCGTTACTTGGATTTGAAATTTGTGTAAATTGAATTTATTGAAGTCTAATAGTCCCACGTGTGTGCGCATATCTTCTGACGCTGCCAGACTTTCCTGACAGCCATCAATATATACATATATATATATAAACATATATGGATTTATGTACACATACAGATACATAAATATGTGGATGTGTGTGCTTGTGTGCATGCAAGTTCCGAGAGGTGAAGACGTTTGATGTCAAAATGGCTGCAAGGCGTTATTTTTTCTGCCCCCCATCACTATATTAAATGTGTGTGTGTGTGTGTGACGGAATGATGGTATTTATAGTCTACTTAAAGGCTTCCCCCCCTCAAAGCAATTTCAAGTTGCTGGGCTCCTTCCTTTGGCGGATCTTCAGACAGGATTCAGTAAGCGCACCCGTGCACGTCAAGCCAAGACAAACAATTTGAATGAATGCTCAAAAAGGGGTGATTACCCATGTGTGTGTGTGTGTGTTTGTGCGTGAGCACGGGGATGATGGTGTTTACTGACAGGCAGCAGCACACACCGCAACCGCAAACGTAAAAACACCGTCAAACCGAAAACCAGCGAACCCACTAACGCCGACGACTTCATTTCGAATAATTTACATTCTCCGGAATTTACGCTGAAATTTTAATTGGAATTTACTTTGCGACTCTCTGCGTGGCTTTTTCCGGGGGCTGTGTAGCGTTTAATTTATGGCTGGGAAAAGTTTTTTTTTTTTTGCCTTCTTCCGCTTGTTGACAAGCCAAATTTGTCATGCATTTAATGGCTTAGAGACAGGCGCCATCGTCGGGCCAATATTGAGCCATGTCCCCTTGTCCCGTGCACCATAGACATCGCGTCGTATGCGTAACATTTCGTCAATCGCAACGAACATCGCGCCGTTTGCATAACATTTCCCCAGAAGAGCAATAACAGCGCTGTAAGTGTAACCCAATAACACACTTTTACATGCCGCTACTCTGTTACGTTACTGTTACGTTTCCGTTCGGCTCGCTCTCAAACGCCCGCGTTCTCCTCTGCTCTGCTCTGCCAGAGTTCTGAGTGCTGGCCTGAGTGACAGAGAACGGGGGCCAGGTTTGAGTGCGACCTGCGCGCAGCTCTCTCGTCTGCGAGTGGGACGGAAGCGTAGCAATGTTGTTGAGGGCAGTGGCGGCAAAAGGTTTTCGGCATTCCGCTCAGTTTCTGCTTCTGTATATGCTCCGTGCACATTCTGAGCGGTGTCCGTGTCGGGCTTCGAGCTTCGTGCGGCGCTCATGGAAATTCGGCGGTTCATTCGTCTGTTAGCCGTCTGGTGCGTTGCCACGACGCTGTCGCAGTTTATTCGTTTTGTTCGCTCGCTCGTTTGCCTGATGGTCGATGCTCGCTGCTTGGCATTCGCAGCCGTTGCATGTTGAGAGGAAGTAGGCGCGCTCCGTAGCAGCAGAATCTGTTGCAGAATCAGAATCAGAGGCATAATCAGAGGGAGAGGCAGCAGCCAGGCAAATAAATGATTATTGTTTGGAGATTACAGGCACATTGATTGCTTACAACGGTAAATCTCACACACAGAACACACAGAAACAGACACACATCGAACTGCTCGATTGGTTCGCACCGTTTCGCGCGCGCCTCCCATTGCGTATACGCAACGTTGCCGTCGGGTGCTTCGCAGACATCCGCTTCCGCCGCCGCCACTGCAACTGCAGGGCCGTGAAAATGCATTTGCATTTCCCAATTTAAGAATATATCTCGTCGCCTCGCGTCGCATCGCGCCGCGTCCAATTTCAAATCAAAAATGTAACAACCTTCACAAAAATACAAATATACGCAAATTATTGTTGCTGCTGCAGTTGTGCTTTCTGTTTTCGCTATACGCTAGATTCTAGAAATATTTGTTTAAAAATTCTGTGTAATCTTTTTATTTTACAATAATTTTTTGGTGCAATTTATAAACTTGTCGCGCAATTGGAAACAAACAAACGCCACTCGTCGCACGTTCGAAAAAAGTTTTTCATGCTAAACATGCAAATAATGCACGAGTCCAACAAATCCGCCAACAAACGGCAAAAGTATTTATATTAAATGCGAAACGAAAATTATACAAAACAAAGCTAAACAAAACACAGAGCTCAGTGCAAAATGCAAAATGCCAAAGTCATAATCACAATCCGTCCATGTTATTTGTAATGAGTGCTTCGACCAAATGCAACAATCACAGCCGCCGCACAGGGCCACTCGACCAGTTTGCCACTCGAGGGGAAAAATAACCAGTAACGGTAGCGATACGGGTAGCGATACGAGTAATGATAACATAAATAAGAACTGTCGAGCAAATCAGCGTCGCGGCAGAGCCACAGCCACTCATCGGACGGGGCTGCTCCATCACGAGCCGGAGCCGCTGTCAATGAGCCAAGTTCCAGTTCCACAGAGTCACACACACGCACACTGAATCACCCCGAGCCCTGAATTCCAATGTAAGGGTACGCTGATACGCCTAGAGATGCGATGCTGAGAAATAGTACGGAAGTGTTGATATTTCGCCGCTGCTCAGTGGCAGTCGCAGCTCAGTCGAAGAGCCAGCCTGAAGCACAGAAATCGTCATCTCATAACGACTTAAGCTCCTCAGGGTGGAACATGGCAGCAGCGTCAGCATTTCTATGAGTACGTACATCCCCATTGCCCCTGGGGCTACACACTTAAAGCCACAACAAACGCATCCACAGAACGTCCATGATGACGATGATGATGATGACAATGGGGGGAAGGAATGATGCCAAAGTCATTTCTTTAAAGGTTACCTCTCGCATAAGAGAAGAGAGTCCTCTGTCTATGTGCACGGAGTGATTTTGTTTACTTATGCCTTCTATTTATTTTCTATTTATTCGATTTGCATTTCACTCGGCGCCCGTCTTTGCCTTGGCAGTGCCTTCAAGCGTTACCAAAAACTCTCAAGATTTCGAATGCAAATTTGTGTCGTCTAGTGCACAGTCAACCATCTAAGTCGACCCAAAGATTTCCCTATTTTCTATGTGTGTGTGTGTGGGCACTCAAATGTTTTGCTTGGCTGTTGACTTGGCTTTCAACGGGTCGAGCTGGGGCAGCCTCTTCAGTCAACGCATCTTCAGCATCAGTTCAGTAAATGGTGAGTATAATGATGAATAATATTTGAAAATAATTATCAATAAGATTCCCATTTGAATTGAGATGCTGATAGCTTAAGCTCGAAGCCCCCACATTTCCCCCATCAGTTCAGTTCATTCTAGACATTATGGATCCACTATTAGCTCCATAATCAGACAATCAGCTCATACAAAAAAACATTTACAGCTTCCCTAGCTAGAAAGACAGTGAGCATCAGCACTGTAAAACAGTTTCCTGAGTCGTTATTTTATTGCTCAAGAGTGCTGAGATTGCACACTCGAGTCGGCTAACGAATAGGATGATTGTTGTTCTTAGGTAATGCATAGTGTCAGTTATCAGTGCAGGTGATTCATACTCAACTCTGTGCAGGAGTTCAACAAGGGGGAAACACAGTAATGGAACTAGGTGATTTATTTCCAATTATCGAATAGATACAACAATTTAATAATGTGGCATTTGTTATGTTCAGCTCTAGAATATGATGGTGGAGCTATTCAATCATCGAAAAGTAGTATTTCTAACCAGTTATCAAATTGTTTCGAAACGCAAATTAACGCTACAACTATCACATATGTGAATGTACATATACACTCAGAGATAAAAATAGTAAAATGAAATAAACCCATATTTAAATTAAATATACGGTTTTTTAAATAGAAAAATAATGAAATGAAATATTTACTTAAAATTAAAAATAAATTAATAAAAAATATTTTATTTGTAGGAAATATATACGTATAAATATATACAAAAAAAATATTCTAAGTATGAATAAATATATTTATTCAATTTGTTCATACTTATGAAAAATCAATTTATTAAACTAGTTGTAAATATTAAAATTTCAGGAATTTTTTCTCTGGGTGTATTTATGTGGCATCCCTCTTAATTTTAAGATGTACGTTAATGCAGCGAAAAATAAGAGGCCTGGCCTATTTTTATTTTCACATAATACACATTCTATTATGCTTGTCATTTCATGCAAAATCAATTAATAATTCATTTATAATGCTGAACACGTTTGTTGATCAATTAGGTTTAAGTACCGAAAATGGTTGCTAATCAATTGAATTTTAAACTACCGAAAATTGTTGGTAATCGACATTTGAGTACTGTTAAAATTAATCAGTTATATGATTAAGATTCCTCGTTAAGCAAAACGATGGGCAAGCGGAATGGGCACAGAATATTCTCTATTACAGAACTAATTTTCCACTCGCGTCGAAGCCAATTAACTAATTGAGTTTGTTATAACACTTGATAGTGAGTTTAGGCAATTACCAGTATCTATTATATTTACATACATATATTCCTGATAATTTCACTACATTTGTCTTACAATACTGAATCATACTGTACTGGCAGTACAGTGGCGATAATCATACGATTGGCTTATCAGATCGTATTTCTTGCACAGCTCATCTGTGTACAGGGCTGGTAATAATAATATAACAAAGTGTTAGCAATAAAATTATCTGCTTTGTAATGCTCATAGCAGATCCTTTTTACTGCAGCAATTAGTGCAGAGTAATTCTTTAATTTCCATTCAACATCAATGGCCGCTCCCGAGCGGAAGTGAAAAATGGATGGCGAAAGAGAAGCGAATGCAGCATTAATGCAATTATTTTCTTTTGTTTCTGTAATCATGGAACCCATTTGAAATGCAATTTAAATGAGATTACACTTTGGCCAATGGCCACGCCTAGCTTTGGCGCACAAATGAGCTGTGCCGCAGGTTGGGCGGTGGCTCTGTGTATTCTGCTCATTAATTATGATACTTTGAATTTCGAGTGGCGTCGATGGCTTGCGGCATGTATCGGAAATTCATGATAAAGCGGCAAATAACCGCAAGCCGATCCACCACACACACACACATTGATAGAGGGGGGATGCCTCACGCACACACACACACAGGTAGAGAGTGTGAGAGAGTGCTGTGACAGATACGGCGACAGGTGTTTAAAACTTTTCTTTAAGGCGCGTTCAAACAAAAGCGAATCCAGCCGGGGGACACCCGATGGATGTTGTGCTATGTTTTCGGCTGCGGTGGAGTCTGGGGCGCTGTCGGCATTTTCTTGCTCAATCAACTTCAATCAAGCAGGAATTTCCAATGTAATTTGTGGTTTCAAAAGCGTTGCCGTCGCCGTCGTCGTCGTCTTCCTCGGTGCTGTACCGCTCGCTGCTGAGGATGTTCGTGGCTGTGTCAAAGGCAGCCATTGAATGTGTAGAAAGGCAGAAAATTATCGACAAAGCCCACAGCTTACACACACACAGATACAAAAAGCAACCACACCAATACACCCACCCTGTAGAACAAATGAAGCAGTGTGAAAGTCTTGTGTTGGGACCGCTCTCCCTTCCGCTTGATTTGATGGCCTCTGGGCTCCTACGTTTCGTTTCCCTTTGCTGGGCCTTTCTACAACTTCAAATTACAAGAGCGCGCCGAAGAGAGATGGGGTAACAAAGGAAAAGGGAGAAAAGAGGCATGGGGAAAAGGCAGAAGGAAATGCCCGCCGTCTGTCCGCTTGATTAGAAAAGCTGCAAGCGATAAGAAGACGCCAAAAGAAAAGCGCAAAAATAAAATAGAATTCTAATTGAATTTATACGTACATATATACTTATATATATATACTCGTACCCGTAGAGATTCTCCCTGTTCATTCCTTGCGAGGAGCACGATTTCGTGCCTTCTCACACTTTTTGGACGGCAGGCAGCCCGCAGCCAAGTGTCCGTTTGATGTCCTTGCCTTGTCGCCCGCTCCTGATTTATTGGTACGCCGAGGCCAAGGCGCTGCGCTTTTTGAGCCTCGGGCCTGGGCTTGGTTCTGGTACGGTGACCAACGATTTTAATTGCCTGTCAGTCCGACGCGTCGGCCTGTTCAGCATATCAACAGACAAAACGGCCACCAATTTTCCGAGTCTGCCTTCGACATAAACAAACACCAACTCAATGTGTGAAAAATGTTCAAACAATTTGGTTACAAATTTTCCAAACTTGGCAATGACAATTATGTGATGGACAAAGCCACAGCAGGAAGCCTTCAGCCCTTTAATAAACCCACATCACCCACATTATCCATAGCCCTGCTCAGACATACTCGTATACACTTTCCGACCTAAGTATAACAATTATTTGTTATTCATTAGATCTTATTTTGTACGAGTAACATCGCATCACCATACCATCTAGCTGCCATGTGAGCGATGGACCTTTAAGGGTATCAAAGCATCGACTGTACCAGCCAGAGTTTGTTTCCTGCTCACATCTGTGTGTAAATGTTTATGCGTATGGTGTATGTGGTGCGACTATTTCAGTTTATATGGAGCGCGTCAAGTGCTCGACACGAACGGAAACCGCAAAAACCGAATCAAAAACATTCCCCCTGGCTGTGAGGCAGCAAAGTGAGGGAAAACTTGTCACACACTCCCATGTAGAAAAAAAGCGATACAAAGCAAATCAAATATTTAAAGCTCATTGAGGCGAAAACTTTGACACATGTTGAGGGAAAGCCGACGCGTCGGGGAGCGGGAGAAACATTGATTAAAACGAGGCTGGGGCGCTCGTCAACCCCTACGTTGCTGGTGATACTGGCAGCGACTAACTAACATTATCTGATAGCCGCATTCAGATCCAGTTACTCCTCCCACCCCATTGCGGTTTGGGGGCCCATCACTGCTGTTCCTCCACTCAAGATAACCCTTTGTTCTGGACTTGGCCTCGGCTCTGCGGTTGCCATTGCGAGACGCAATTAATGGCCCAGTGTCGCTCGGAGATCTGGTCGGGGGGGTCGGTTGCCAATATTTCACTCACGCTGTGTGCGTCTGCACTTGAGCACTGAATTGTCTCTCTGTAACCCCAAGCCGAACCCTTTCGAAGGTCGGGCCAGCACTCAGCGTGAGATAAGCGGTTGGGGGAAAGAAAAGGGGAAAATGGAAAATAGTTGGAAAAGTATGCAAATCAGGAGCGTTGCCAAATACCCGGGGAGGCCGAAGAGGCCCCAAGTGGAGCGAAGAATAACACAGCAGCAGCAGGCTCAACACCTGGCCATTGAGCACTAAATGCGCTTTGCCTCGACATTCCATTTCGCTTCCCACCAGCCTGTCGATAAAAAAACAAAAAAAAAAGCAGATGGCTGTAGCTGTAGGTGTACCTGGAAATGGAACTGGAGATGGGTCTGATGGCATGGGAATGGCAACGGCAACTTAAAAGCCAAGTTGAATATGCTTTGGCAAAAAGGATTTGGCAATGGAAAGCAAACAAAAAGCGCACAAGCTGGAAAGTGAACTTTTTCGAAAGCCAGCTTACCAAGAGAAACAGACAGACAGACTGACACTGGTGCGAGACTGATAGATAGATAGAGAGAGACAGAGAGAGAGAGATTTGTGAAAACATTGCGTATGCGTGATAGATCTGCAGCTTAGCATAACACCCAAAAACCAAAAAAACAAAAGCCAAAAAACAGCTTAACACGCCCAAACAGCCCCTGTAAAACTGAAGTCAATTAAAAAAAAGTCTGACTGCGTCAAAGGTCCGGCTGGAAGAAGTTAATTTCATAATTTATACAACGGACTCTGCAGAATTCAATTTAGGACTCTGCGAAATTGCGGCCAAGAGAGTGCTGTGCTAATGAAAATACAAAGCAAACAAATCGCATGCCCCGCGACGGAATGGGGCATGGGAATGAATTTAAAAATTAAAGCCAAAGCTGCAGCAGGAGTCGCAAATGCAAATGAATGAAAACGAAAATAAGGCGGAGAAAGGAAAATAACAACTGTAGAAAGCGGGAAAAGCGGGAAAACTTCAGCAAACACTGTCTGCAACTGAAGAAAATCGCTCAAGTTTTAATTAGTTTGCCATGCAACCGCAATATAGACTAGGGGATAGAGCGGTATAAGCGGCGTAATATGGAACTGGAGGCGTGACGTGGCAGGTCAGGGCGTTTTATAATTTAAGTTTTTCCACTCTCATTTCTGGGTGCTCTCATGGTTACACATTTTCCA